TCGGCTCAGGTCATGATCCTGGAATCCCGGGATCGAGTCCCGCATCGGGCTCCCTGCTCGGCGGGGAGTCTGCTTCTCCCTCTGACCCTCCCCCTTCTCATGTGCTCTCTCTCTCTCTCTCATTCTCTCTCTTTCAAATAAATAAATAAAATCTTTAAAAAAAAGAAAAGAAAGGATAACAAATTTGTATTTAATGGCAGGGGAAGTGTGTAATAGAATGATTAGGGACTTTGGAATCAGTCAGACTTGGGTTTTAACACACTTTCTAGTTGTATAAATTTGGATGAGTAATTTAATAGTTAATCTCAGTTTACTCATCTGTTTATTGGGGGAATTATATATATTTTAACTACCTCAGAGAATCTGAGGATTTAATGATCTACTATGCATGAAAGTACCTAATAGAGTGCCTGACAAACAGCCCCTCAGAAAAACTTTTATTTTATACAGATATAAAGAAATCATAAGTTTCTTTATTATATACAAATATCATGTAGATGCATTAAACTTTTTCTCTAATACATCCAAATTCCCCATTATTGAAAGCAGTATCATGACTAGAAAGATGGCCCAAAAGGATATGTTCTGCTGGCAATGGTTATATAAATTATAAATGAATATTATCTTTATAGACAAAACATAGGCCTTAATAGAGTTGTTATGAGGGTTAAATGAAAATACGTGTAGAATATTCAAAACTGTGTCCAGCATATGGTAAGTGCTCAAATGTTCGCCTCCTTATTCCAGCCACTTGCCCCCGCAGTCCAGATCTTTTCAGTCTCTAGTACTTCCTGGCCAAAATACTGATGGTTGTTTTGTCCTTTACTGTGCCATCATAATAACTTCGTAAAAATTGCATTTATCTATTCATCTTGTTTATTAAAACTCGTGAACTTCTTCTTTGGTTGCTCTCATATCCTATTAGCTGACCTTGACCAAGTTCTTTTTATAATTGCAGGTGACTCTACCTGAATTTTCCAGCTGCAGAATGTGTAGTACTTTTAAAGGTAAATGAAAATAAAGACAAGTCATTTAAGTGTGCTAGTTTCGGGGGCACCTGACTGGCTCAGTTGGAAGAGTGTATGACTCTTAATCTCGAGGTCGTGAGTTTGAGCCCTACGTTGGGTGTAGAGATTACTTAAATAAATAAAACTTAAAAAAAAGTAAAGCTGTCATTTTTTTTTTTTTTTTTAAAGTGTGAGGGAGGTGCCTGGCTGGCTCAGTTGGTAGAGCATACGACTCTTGGTTGTAAGTTCAACCCAACGTTGGGTATAGAGATTATAAATAAATAAACTTTTTTTTTTTAAAGATTTTATTTATTTATTTGACAGAGAGAGAGACAGCGAGAGAGGGAACACAAGCAGGGGGAGTGGGAGAGCGAGAAGCAGGCTTCCTGCAGAGCAGGGAGCCTGATGTGGGGCTCGATCCCAGGACTCTGGGATCATGACCTGAGCCGAAGGCAGACGCTTAACAACTGAGCCACCCAGGCGCCCCAATAAATAAACTTAAAAAAAAAAAAAGTGTGCTAGTTACAAAAGGAAACTTGACAGCATTTAGTAAGTTATCTGCATGCAAATAACTGACTTATGAGTGACGTAGTCTGTAGTTCCTGTTATTGATAGAAAAAACAAAAATAGGATTTTAGGAGAGAGAGAGGAGAGAAAAAATTCATTTTTTGGGTAAACTGATTAGCTGGGAGCCAGTTGGGATCATCATTATTTAGTTTCAGGCCATTGGTATTACAAGTTCTGAAATGAAATTTTTTCAGAGTAGGGAGAGTTGATCAAGTTTTTGTTTGCCAAATTCTGAAGTCTGTTCAGTGAAGAACTGACTATAAAGTATTGGAAAGTTGCATGTTTACTGTTTAGATACCAGGATACCCAGAAAGCCATTTTCTAACTGTAAAGTTGTTTGGTAAGCATGCAATAATAGTAAAGGGAGGTACTTGAGGATTATTTGATCCAGGTTTGGTATACCGGTGAAATGCATGGACTTCCCCCAATGGACTGTTTCTAGTGCATAGACACTAAAGTCTACCAAACCATTATTCTTTGCTTGTCTGCCCCTTCTCTAAACTCTCATGTATTAAAACACTTCCTTTCTGGTACTGTTAATCATTCTATAGATTGGTTAAGGCTTTCTTTATAGGAAGAATTGCTTTCCCATTATTATATTTTAGTTGCCTTGATTGAATTTGGCTTTTTCCAACTCTCAGACACCACTTCCTGTCCTTTCCATTTTTCAGATAAAGAGTTGATTTACCTTTTATCAAAAGCATAGTATTAATATGATAATGCATAATATATTTTTCATACTTGAGACTCTTTAAAATGTAATATAAATATATGTATTATGTGAATATTTAATTTATTTGGTTGTTGAAATGAACTTTTCATCACTTTTGAGTGCTTTATTGCTTTTGTTTAGGTTGGCAATGATGAGTAAACTGGAATTAAAGGAAGACAAGATGCTGGAGGTTCAGTTTGTGGGAGATGATGATGTCCTTAATCACATTCTTGATAGAGAAGGAGGTACTGAGTGATTATACAATTGAAGAGATGCTTATGTGATGGTTATGGATTATCTCGCTTTTTAAAATATTTTAACCTTCTATTTTAAAAATAGAGCACAAAGTATTTGATCTAGTAAGACTAAATAAAAACTACTTTTGTAGTTTATTCCATTCAAACTTTTGAAAATTAAAAATAATAAAGCCTTATCTGATATGAAATACTTAATATTAGGGGTAAGTGATAACTACCCATTGTAATTAAAATGTGACCCCCAAAATAATAAACTTTCAAGGTTTTTCCTTAAATTATATAAACTGTGGTGAAGAGTGGTGCATACATTCATCAAAGAGAAAACACTGAATTTTTTTCCAGATTTTAAGTAATGACAATATAAGTATTACAGTTTGTTTACTTATTTAAATGTAATGTTTGGAAAGAATTTATACCTGTCATGTTCTAATTCTTTGGATGTTCTTATAGGAGCTAAATTAAAAAAGGAACGAGCTCAGCTTTTGGTCAACACAAAAAAAATTATAAAAAAGCCAGAATATGATTTGGAAGAAGATGACCAGGAAGTCTTAAAAGATCAGAACTATGTGGAAGTTTTAGGACGAGATATTCAAGGTACTTTGGTAGCTGGGGTGGGGAAAGTACACTCAAATTTCTGCTAGTAGCTGAAACTGCTTTGCAGGATACATAACAGTAGTCTGGTAGGTTAGGCAGTGGCAAGCTATATTACTATTTTTTTTAATTGTAAACTACATACAAACTTTACCATCTTTAACATTATTAAGTGTATACTTCAGTTGTATTAAATATATTCGTGATGATGCTGTGCTATTATCACCATCCATCTCCAGAACTCTTTTCATCAGGCATGCTACATTGTATTTCTCATCAGAAAAGCATTTGCTTCAGGTTTTTATGTATAGTTGGAAGGTTGGAAGCACTGAATTTCCACTATAGTTTTTTTCTTTAGTTTTTTTTTTCCCCCACAAGCAACCAGTGGTGCACTTAATTATTTTTAGATTCCACAGACCAATCTAAAGTTATTTGTTAAGATATTTGTATTTTTAACTAATTTGAAATAATTTCATAAAGCAAGTCACTTCATTATTACTTTGGTCTTCTTTACAGAAATAGTTAGAAAGGGGGCACCTGGGTGGCTCTGTCGGTTAGGCATCTGACTTGATTTCAGCTAGGGTCATGACTTCAGGGTTCTGGGATCGGCCCCATGTCAGGCTCTGTGCTAGGTGTGGAGCCTGCTTGAGATTCTCTCCTTCTCCTTCTGCCCCTCTCCCCACCTTGCCTCGTGCACACCTACTCTCTCTGTCTTTAAGGAAGGAAGGAAAGGGGGGGAAGGAAGGAGGGAGGGAAGGAGGGAGGG